GCTGGGACAACTAAATATCCATATGCAAAACAATAAAGTTAAAGCCTTACCTTACACCATGTACAAAAATTACTTCCTGTGCTCATGGATTGGAAGACTTAATATTGTTAAGATGGCAATAAATCACAAAGCAAATACAGATTAAAGGCAATTAATATCAAAATCCCAATGACCTTTTCAGCAGAAACAGAAAAGCTGATTCTAATATTCACATGGAGATACAAGGGATCTGAACAGCCAAAACAGTGTTAGAAAAGAACAAAGTTGGAGGAATCACCTTCTCAGTTCTAAAATTACTACAAAGCTACAGTAATCAAAATAGTGCAGTAATGGCATACAAATAGAAATGTAGATAAAAGGAATAGAATTGAAAGCCTAGAAATAAACCCTCAATTCTATGGTCAATTCAGTTTTGACCATGGAGCCACAACCACTCAAGGGAGAAAGAATAGTCTCTTCAATAACTGGTACTGAGACAACTAATATCCATATGGAAAAGAATGAAGTTTTGACCCTTACCTAATAATATATACAAAAATTAACTCAATATATATCAAAGATGCAAATGAAAGAGCTAAAAGTATAAAAAATTTAAAAGAAAACACAGGGACAAATCTTTATGACTTTGAATTTGGCAATGGTTTCTTAGATATGATACCAAAGCATAAGCAACAGAAGAAAAGATAGGTACCCTGTACTCTTCTGTTTTTACTTTTGTTAATCCTTACCTGATATTTTTCCATTGATTTTTCTAGATAGAGTGGAAGGCAGAGAGAGAGAGAAACATCAATGTGAGAGAGACAGAAATGATTGGTTGACTATGCTGGGGAATCAAACCTGCAACCCAGGTACATGCCCTTGACTGGGAACCAAACCTGTATCCCTTTGGTCTGAAGGCTGATACTCTAACCACTGAGAAAACTGGCCAGGGTGGTACACTGTGTTCTTCATCAAAGTAAACTGCTGTGTGGGGTGATGTGGGAGCTGGGTGGAGGGGGGCAAAGAGGGGAGAAATGGGGAACATCTATAATACTCTCAACAAAAAAATAATTAAAAAAAAAAAAAGTAAACTGTTGTGCATCAAAAGGGCAGTAACAGTGAGTGAAAAGACACCCAGAGAATGGGAGCAAATATTTGCAAATTATACATCTGATAATGGTCTACAATCCAGAATATATAAAGACATATTACAACTTAAAAAAAAAGACAAACACAATTAAAAAGTAGGTAAAGAGCCCTGGCCAATGTGGTCCAGTGGATAGTGTCAGCCCACGCACCGAAGGTTCTCGGGTATGATTCCCAGTCAAGGGCACCTACCTGGGTTGCAGGTTCGTTCCCCAGCCCCAGCTGGGGTGTGTGTGCATGAGGCAAACAATCGGTGTCTCTCTCTCACAAGGATATTTCTCTCTCTCTCCCCCCCCCTTCCCTTCCTCTCTTCCACTTTCTCTAAAAATCAATGTAAAAAATATCCTCAGGTAAAGATTAACAAACCAACGAACAAACAAAAAAAGTAGGTAAAGACTTGAATAGACACTTCTCCAAAAATACAAATGGCCAACATGAAAAGATGCTTAACATCACTAGTCATACAGGACAGGGAAATCAAAATGACAATAAGTATGAGATATCACCTCACTCACACTAGGATGCCACCCCCCCCCCAAGGTAAACAAAAACAGTTGGTGATTGTAGGGACATTGGAACCCTCAGACTTGCTGGTGGAATGTAAAATAAGCATACCCACTGTGGAAAAGTTTGGCAGTTCCACAATAGGCTAAACATAGAATTGCTATATGACTCAGTATTTCCATTCCTAGGTATATATGCAAAAGAACTGTTTATGGGTATTCAAATAGAAATGTGTACACAATTGTTCATATCAGCTCCATTCCCAATAGTTAAAAGGTGGAAACAACCCAAATGTCCATGAATGGATGAATGGATAAGTAAAATGTATACTGATACATGCCAGGACACGGATGAACCCACAAACCATTAAGCTAAAGTGAAAGAAGCCTGACACAAAGGTCACATATTGTATGACTCCATATGTATGAAATAACTAGAACAGGCAAGCTTACAGAAACAAGAAAGTTAAGTAGTTGTCAGGGGCTGTTGGGAAGAGGGAATAGAGATTGCTTAATGGGTATGAGGTTTCCACTGGGGCGATGAAAAGTTGTTGAACTAGACAGGGTGATGGTTGTAAAACACTGTAAATGTACTCAGCGCCACCTCAACTATACACTTTAAAATGATTAAAATAATAAACTTTATGTTATGTGTATGTATTTTACTTTACACACAAAAATCCCTTTTCCCTTATCTCCTCTATGGAACAAAAAGCCTTAATCTGTGCCATTCCCAATTCTCTTACTTTAAAAAAGAGTCATATTACACTATTTATATATGTAATCACTGTCATTTAATACCTGCCAAACCTTAATTATGAGAAATAAGATTTATGGTAAGCTGCCTGAACATCTTGTGCCTTCTTTCCTCTAGACCAGTGGTCTCTAAATTATTTGATTATGCAGTCCCACTGATAAAATATATATAAAATCCTCACCAGAGGGTATTTTTTTTTTATGTGATTTTAGAAAGTGAGAAACACTGATGTGCAAGAGAAACATCAATAGGTTGCCTCCCACACACACCCTTACTGGGGATTGAATGGGCAATCCTGTGTCCTAACTGGGAATTGAACCCATAACCTTTCTGGTGTATGGGTTTACACTTAACCAACTGAGACCCTGGGCCAGGCAATGTTTTGTAACATAAATTACCAGTGTGGGGCAAAAGTAGATTTACAGTTGTTCATATAAAAAAATAATACAATAATTAAAAAATAATAATATGCCCTGGCTGGTTTTGCTCAGTGGTTAGAGCATAGGTCTGCAGACCAAGGGATCACAGGTTCGATTCCAGTCAAGGGCACGTACCTGGGTTTCAGGTTTGACCCCTGGCCCCGGTCAGAGTCATGCAGGAGGCAACCAATCAATGTGTCTCTTTTACATCGATGTCTCTCTCTCTCTTCCTCCTTCCCTCCTGCTCTCTTTAAAAATCAATGGAAAAATATTCTCAGGTGAGGATTAACAAAATAATAAATGAAATAAATAATAAAATAAACTGTTTTACATACTCACAACTATAAACTTACTTTTGCCCTGCCCTGTATGTATAAATTATATATTAGTACTATACTCATATACTATAAACATACTTAAAATAAAATTTTAAAAGTTTGAGAGAAATATAAATCTAATATTTTTCTTTCTACACTCCCAAGAACTATTTTGCAAGCATCATTCTTTGTAAAGCACTTCTCCAGATACCCTAAATTTTACTCTTGGGTTAAAGTAATTGTCTGTATTTGCTGATCCCTTGAGAGCTGCCTTTAACTCGATAGTAAGGTCGTGTTAGACTTGTAGGCACTGTTACTGAACCTACTGTAAGGATGCTGCTGAGGACTCTGTTATACTGTGATGCCTTCTTTACTAGGACAGATAAGTAAATTTCTCTTAGGTCTTAGTGCCAGAAATATGTAATGTTTTAGAAAATTTAGTTTGTTTTTATATTATAAACTCATGATTGATCACAAAATTCTAGCAACACTAACTGGTAGAAAACAAAATTTGTGGCTAATAAACATATCTACAAGGTATATTTTATCTCCCCTGTAGCATTAACTTGTCTTCCCATCACTCACAACCCCTCTCTGGCTTTCATTTGAATTCTTCATTTACTTTTTATTTTATTTATTTATCCTCACCCGAGAACATTTTTCCATTTTTTGTTCAGGTAGAGTGGGGGGGGGGGGGAGAGAGAGAGAGAGAGAGAGAGAGAGAGAAAGAGAGAGAGAGAGAGAGAGAGAAACATTGATGTGAAAGGGACACATTGAGTGGCTGCCACCCGCACGACCAACCAGGGCCAGGGACAAACTGCAACCAAGGTACGTGCCCTTAGCAGGAACCAACCCGGGTGTCTTGGGACCGCAGGCCGACGCTCTAATCGCTGAGCAAACCCGACCAGGGCCTTCATTTACTTTTTAAAAATCATATTGTATTATGTGTGTGTGTGTGTGTTTAATTTTTTTTTTCTTATCCTCACCCAAGGACATTTTTCCATTTTTTGTTCAGATAGAGTGGGAGGGAGAGATAGGAAGAGGAAGAGAGAGAGAGAGAGAGAGAGAGCGAGAGAGAGAGAGAGAATCATCGATGTGAAAAGGATACATCAAGTGGCTGCCTCCCGCATGACCCAACCAGGGCTGGGAACAAACTGCAACCAAGGTACATGCCCTTAGAGGGAACCGAACCTGGGTCTCTTTGGACCTCAGGCTGATACTCTAACCACTGAGCCAAACTGGTCAGGGCGATACATGTGTTTAAAGCAACTCAAAATTTTTTTTTTTTTTTTTATCCTCACCCGAGGATATTTTTCCATTTTTTGTACAGATAGAGTGGGAGGGAGAGAGAGTGAGAAACATCGACGTGAAGGGACACATCGAGTGGCTGCCACCTGCACGACCAACCAGGGCCGGGGACAAACTGCAACCGAAGTACGTGCCCTTAGCGGGAACCGAACCCGGGTCTCTCCAGACTGCAGGCCGACGCTCTAACCGCTGAGCCAAACCGGTCAGGGCAAGCAACTCAAAATTTCTTGAAAGACAGAGAGAACAGAAGAGATAAAAAAACCCAAGGCAATATTGTTCAGAATGAAGATCATTCTAAACTCAAATCTCCCCTGTGCCAGGGATATACTTTGCAGACTTGGAAGCAGCAGCAAAGCCCTTCATCCAAAGGATAATTTGTAAATGAGTGTTGATGAAAAGAATGACAACTCACAATAGCACTGTACTACACTTTCTCACTCTTTTCCAGTTGGTAAGAAATAGTATAGTGAAGAAAGGGCAAATGGCTTTTTTTCACCTGTGTGCAAAGCTTAACTTAAAACGTCCATGAAAAGGGCAGTCACATTGCCAGATGCAATTTGTAGCCATGTACCTGGATGCGTTTCCTTCTGGTGTGTTCAGAAGTCATTTGGGGATAATCTGTACTCAATGCTTTCTTCTTCTTGCTCCGCTTCTCAATGTATCTCCTCTGATGATCAGTGATGCTGCTATATAATCTAATTCGCCTGGGTGACAAACAAACTCTTTCATGGCCAAAAGCCTGGATCAATCGGGCAGTGTCAATGGTGGAAATAGAGCTGCTCCTCTCATGCAAAGTCACTTCTTTATCTGTTTGAGTCAATATATCTGATTCCACAGGAGAAGCTGTGGTGGAAAGGATATTGGTGGCAGTATCTGTGAGCAGCTCACTGTCTTCTGAGGGTCTAGAATCTGAAGAAGTATTGTTTATATAACAAAAACCTGGCTGTTTTCTCAGAACATATTTATCAAATTTAACCTGCTCAATTTTAATCTGATTAGACCTTCCAGCTTGATGAGTAGAAAGCACCTTGCTTTTTTTAAGATCTCCTATGTTTTTATGGCATTTCTCTAGGCTTTTATATCGCTTCTTTTTCTGAAGCTTGTTTTTCTGCTGTCGCTGTCTACCACTCCATTCTCGCTGCCCTCTGCTATCATCCTGTGTACTTTCTGAGGGTCGAAGAGAATGTGTAATGGGATTCTGAAGAAGTTTAGCCAAACGATCAAGTCGCTCCACCAAGGATAGTTCTTTCCCGCTACTGATCCCTAGAGGTTTCTGTTGCTTCTGTCGTTCCTGATACTTGTTCCAGAGTTCATTCAAACTTGTAATGTGCTGAGCTGTGGGCTCTGGTGTGACCTTAAGATCCTCTTTTTGATCATTAATTTGTTTGTCACATTTTGCATGATCACTAGCCTGACTTTTAGTAAGATGTTGTAACTCTTCTTCGTTTTCCAAGTTTACATTGATACTGAGACTCTCTATTCTAGTGTAGTCTGTCTTCGTTTTTTCCTCATTTTGACAAGGGGAAGAAAGACTAATATGTTGTTTGTCTGAATGATGCTGAAAGAAATCGTTCCAAGAATGCCTCATGAAAACACTTCTCCCTAAAGATTCATGGCAAAAATCTTGATCACTTGGTAGGTGGACTGGATGATGAAAGTAAAACTTGGCTGACCTGAACACAGAATGGGTAGTATTTTCAAATTCTGAATGACAGCTGGACTCTGAAAAGAAAAAAAAGATTTAGAATTTTAAGTACTTTAAAAATATTTTCATTCCATTTACAAATAGTATTCACACTTAATGCTTTAAATATATAAGAAAAAGGAAAGAACTATATAAAGTTTCAGAAAATTCAATGCATGAACAAAGAATTTATGCCTTGTGCTTACTAGCCAGACTGGCATGGTAAACATTTGAGACTCAGGGTCAAAAGACCTGGAATCTGGATGGGACTCTGCCACAAACCAGCTGTGTAACCTCAAGAAAGGCACTTTAGGCCTCTGGACTAACAACAGCTGCTGTGTTTTAACTGCTTACTATGTGTGGGGTATTATGATATGTACTCTATATCTGACCTGATTATATTTTTCCATTGATTTTTAGGTAGAGTGGGAGGAAGGGGAGGGGGGGGGAGAGAAAGAGAGAGAGAGAGAGAGAGAGACATTGATGTGAGAGAGACACATCAATTGGTTGCCTCCCATATAACCCAACCGGGGCCAGGGATCAAACCTACAACACAGGTACGTGACCTTGACTGGGAATCAAAACTGTGGGCCAACACTCTAACCATTGAGCAAAACAGGCCAGGCTTTTCTCCCCCTTTTATTCAATTGTGTTGATAAAGCTGAGAGATAGGTATTATTAACCCCTCTTTCAGCTAAGAAACCTGAGAATTCATTTTCATAATCAGTAATTAAATGTGTAGATTAAAAAAAAACTCTTTACACATTCTAGAGCTTCTTAAAATTCCTTTCTGTGGATCATCTTTACATTTTTTCCTCCAGTCTTGTTTATTGTGGTAAAAAAAATACCTAATACAAAATTTAGCATCCTCAAAGTTCACTTATTGAAGTCATCATTCTATGTTAAAATTGGCATTTTTAGATGCAGTAACATCTTACAAACATAAACCCCAACTGTAAGTAGTAATATAGGCTCAATATATATTTTTGGAGTTCCAAATCATAGGTAGAAACAAAGATGTTTGCATGCATGCAACAAAGCAACACTTTAAGATCAGTTTCACCTACATTATAGATTATTGGCAATTAGGGTTTTCATTAAATACTCTCGAAACCCCAAAGGCAATTTCCCCAGAATATAGTAAGACACATGAAATCTGTTTTTATGTCTAAGTATAAAAAGATAATCTGGCCCTGGCCGGTTTTGCTCAGTGGTTAGAGCGTTGGCTTATGAACGAAAGAGTCCTGGGTTCGATTTTGGCCAAAGGCACATAACTCGGTTGCAGTTCGTCCCTGGCCCCAGTTGAGGTCGTGCAGTAGGCAACCAGTCGATGTCTCTCTCACATCGATGTTTCTCCCTCCCTCCCTCCTGTTCTATCTGAAGATAAATGGAAAAATATCCTTGGGTGAGGATTTAAAAAAAAAAAAGATAATCTGTCCTGGCTGGGTAGCCCAGTTGGTTAAAGCACTGTTCTGATACACCAAGGTTATGGGTTCAGGGCACATATAAGAGTCAACTAATGGCCCAGTTGGTGTGGCTCAGTGGATTGAGCATCATCGCATGGTTTGATTCCTGGTCAGGGCACATGCCTGGGTTGCAGCTTGAGCCCCAATAAGGAGGCATATAGGAGGCAGCCGATCCATGTTCCTCTCTCTCTCTCTAAAAGAATCAATAAAAATATATTTTAAAAAATCAACCAATGAATGCATAAATAAGTGGAAAAACAAATTAATAATTCTCTTTCTCTCTCTATCCTCTCTCTAAAATCAATGAAAATTTAAAAAAAGAATAAAGACAAATCTCCCAATGAACAAAAGCCTAGAACCAGAAGGCTTTACTGGTGAATTCTATCAAATATTTAAAGAAGAATTAATATAAAATTTCTCAAACTCTTCTAAAAAACAGAAGAGGAGGAAATACTTCCAAATTCATTTTACAAGGTCAGCATTACCCTGATACCCAGACAAGGACACTACAAAAAAATTTCTAGCCAATATCCCTGATGAACATAGATGTCAACCAGTATCAATGATATATTAAAAGTATCATATAACACAATCAAGTGGAATTTACTCCAAGGATGCAAGAATGGTTCAACATTTGCAAATCAATCATTGTGATATACCACATTAACAAAATCATTTATATTAATCAAAGATCATTTATATGATCTCAATAAATGCAGAAAAAGCATTTGATAAAATTCAACATCCATTCATAATAAAAATCCTCAACAAAGTAGGTATAAAGGAAATGTACTTCAACATAATAAAGGCCATATGTGACAAGACTACAGCTAACATCATATTCAATGGTGAAAAATTAAAAAATTTCTTCTAAGATCAGGAACAAGATAAAGCCACTTCTATTCAATATAGTACTTAAATCCTAGCCAGAGCAATCAGGCAAGAAAAAGAAAAGGCATCCAAATCAAAACAGAAAAAGCAAAACTGCCAATTATTTGCAGATAACACGATATTATATATAGAAAACCCTAAAGACTCTACCAAAAATACTGTTAGCACTAATGGATGAATTCAGTAAAGCTGAAGACTATAAAATCAATATAAAAGTCAGTTGTGTCCTGTCTGGTGTGGCTCAGTTGGTTGAGGGTCATCCTGAACACCAAGATCACCTGTTCAATTCCAGGTCAGGGCACATGCCTGGGTTTCTGCAGGCTTGATCCCCGTAAGGAGGGCATGCAGGAGGCAGCCAATCAATGGTTCTCTCTCATAGATGTGTCTGTCTCTCCCTCCCTCCCTCTCTCCCTCCCTCCCTCCCTCTCTTTCTCGATAAAATCAATACAAATGTATTTTAAAAAATCAGTTGTGCTTCTATACACTAACAACAAACTATCAAGAGAAATTAGAAAGGAATTTCATTTACAATTGCATCAAAAAGAACAAAATACCGAGGAATAAATTTAACTAAGGTGTGAAAAACCTGTACACTGAAAACTGGAAGACAATGATGCAAAAAGTTGAAGAATACACAAAGAAATAATCAGATAACCTGTGCTCATGGATTGGAAAATTAATATTGTTAAAATATCAATACTTCTGAAAGCAATACCCAGATTCAATGCAATCCCTATTAAAATGCCAATGGCATTATTCACAGAATTAGAAAAAACAATTCTAAAATTTGCATGGAACCACAAGACTCTAAATAATCAAAGCAATCTTCAGAAAGAACAACAAAGCTAGAGGCATCATGTTATATATTACAAAGCTATAGTAATTAAAACGGTATGGTATTTATGTAAAAACAGTCACAGATCAATGGACCAGAATAGAGAGCCCAGAAATAAACCCACAGATACAGAGTCAATTAATTTATAACAAAGGAGTCAAGAACACACACTGGAGAAAAGATAATTTCTTCATTAAATGATTCTGGGAAAACTGGACAGCCACAAGCAAAAGAATGAAACCAGACCACTATCTTTCACCATACACAAAAATCAACCCAAAAATCGATCAAAGACATAGATGTAAGACCTGAAACCATAAAAAGTCCTAGAATAAAACCAAAAAAGGACAGCAGGTGAAGAATATTCTGGGCAGAGAGCATCATGTAAGCAACAATGCCACCTTCTGCCAACTCATATACATGTACATCCTTTTCAGATGCCACAATAGAACCATCCCTCCTCCTTTTCAAGGCAAGCCCCGCCACTAAAGCCCAAATTATCTTCCTTTCAAGATCTTGGTTTCTACCCCTAATATATTTCTCTCATATCTTCAGGCTCTTTTTCTTTACTGGCTCATTTCCAATATCTTGAAAGCATTATTTACTATATCATATGCTTAGAAAACGCTCATGCCCTGGCCGGTTTGGCTCAGCGGTTGGAGCGTTGACCTATGGTCCAGAGAAAACGCTCATATCTTCCCTCAGGGACTGGGTCCATTTCTTTGCTCCTCTTGACTGGCAACCTTGTAAACTTGAAAATATAATTTTTATTTTCTTTACTGCTTTCCCTACTTGAATTCACTCTTCCAATCAGAGTATAATGATACCACTGAACTAAAACTGCTCTTGCTAAGATGATCAATGACCTCCACGTGTGGCCAGTTCCAGAGGATGTTCTTATTCTGTATTCTCTTTCTAGGTAATCCTATCTTTCCCTGTGGCTTTTGGTACAATCTTTTATCATGTTAACTACTCTCAAGTTTACATTCCAAGCTATGACTTAGTTATGACTTATCTCTAGAACTCTAGATTCATATTCAATTATATACTTGATATACCCTCTTGGATCTCACAGCCGTCTCAAATTTTAAATGTCCCTAACTGAACTCTATTCTAGTCTCCTCTAAAACAGCACCTCTCTCAATCTATATCTCTGTAAACGGCACATCACTCAAACCCAAACTGATGTCTAGGAGTTATTCTTGAGACTTCCACTTCACACACCTTCCTGTTCTTGCCATTAATCTTGACTAAACAACCACAATCTGTCCACTTCTCTCCATTTCCTCCCACAATACTATATGTCTCTAATAGGTCTCCTGTCCTATCCTGTCCTTTTCCAATGTATTCTTCAGAGAGTAGACAGAGTAATCTTATAAATATAAATTGAACTTGTCATTTTCTTTCTTTTTTTTTAATTCTCACTCGAGCCCTGGCCGGTTTGGCTCAGCGGTTAGAGCGTCAGCCTGCGGTCCGGAGAGACCTGGGTTCGGTTCCCGCTAAGGGCATGTACCTTGGTTGCAGTTTGTCCCCAGCCCTGGTTGGGTCGTGTGGGTGGCAGCCACTCAATGTGTCGCTTTCACGTCAATGCTTCTCTCTCTCTCTCTCCCTCTCACTCTATCTGAACAAAATATCGAAAGATGTCCTTGGGTGAGGATAAAAAAAAAAAAAAAATTAATTCTCACTCGAGGACATTTTTGCATTTATCTTCAGATAGAGCGGGAGGGAAAGAGGAAGAAAAAGAGTGAGAAACATCTATGAGAGAGAGAGACACATCGACTAACTGCCACCTACATAACCCCAACCGGGGCCTGGGACCAACTGCAACCGAGGTATGTGCCCTTAG